CGCGGCCCCGACGCCCTGGGAGGCCCCCGCTGTGTGTTCCCCGGGAGCGGAGGTCCAGACCCACGATGTCGGCTGCTCCTCGCCGGGGAGCAGGGCCAGTCGGGTGTTCGTGCCCTGCGTGGGGCGTGTTCCTTAAAAACGGAGTCTGGGCCCTGGCCGGTTGGCTCAATGGATAGCGCGTCGGCCTGCGGACTGGAGGGTCCCGGGTTCCAGTCCCCATCAGAGCACATGCCCGGGGTGCGGGCTCCATCCCCAGCGGGGGGCCTGCAGGAGGCAGCCGATCCCTGATTCCCTCTCATCATGGATGCTCCTATCTCTCCCTCTCCCTTTCTCTCTGAAATCAACAAAAATATATTTTAAAAAAATCCAAACAAACGAACAAAAAAGCAGGGTTTGCCTCACCACGGGCAGAAGCAGGAGGAAGCGCCAGTCCCTGGGAAAGGGGGACAGTGGTGCCCGTTCAGGGAGCCATGGGGATTTGCCGGTGGGAAGCCAGGGTTGTTAACTAATGGATTTGTTTTCGATTTCCATTGAAATGACCTCAAACAGCAAGCTCAGTGACGCTTATTGCTTTTCGCTGTCCTGTCGTGTTTGAATTTCACAAGTTACGCATCATCGTTCCAGGGAGCGGAAGACGGCTGTACGGTTTTCTTGTACGGATTTAGCCCAAGGAATGTGAACTTATACAAGAAGCTCTTAGCTTGGACCACAGAAATATAGAGAGACCCTTAACTCACGAACTTTTTTAGTTTTTTCCTGCTAAAGATAGTGACAATTATACTGAAACAAATAGATTAGTTATGAAAGTCAAGTCACTTAGAAAACAACGTACTTACAGGCACCATGTGTGTTCAGACCGCCTGGCCTTTCTCACTTTATTGAGTGCAGACTAGAGGCTGGGGGCTGCCTGGACACCCCGCACCCAGGTTCCCTTGGCAGCAGCCCCAGGACGGAGCACACCCGAACCTGGGCTGCCCACAGGTGTGAGGCCCAGCACTGGGGAAGCAGACCCATTTGCCACCGGACGTCACTGTACCGTTGGCGAGAGCCCATCTGTCTTTGACACTGAAGTCATTAGAGAAGAGCCTGCTGTGGTTCTCCGTTTATTGTGCTCCTTTGGAAACATTGATAAAATTCTTAACAGAATGTATCTGCCAAAACACGAGCGTGTATATGCAGCTGCAGGCTCCCGGGGCTGCTCTGCTTGTCCGTGAGCTGCTTCAGTCATGAAATTATCTTCACTCGATACCTTGTGTTTCCCCTGGAGATCTGTTCTGACCTTCAGAAGGCTAATTTCTGGGCTGCTGCAGCTTAAAAGAAGGTGTTTTAATCTCTAGTCTCCTGTTTTAGATTTCGTAGTGTTTCTTCCACGTTTTGTGTTTTCTTAAGGCTCTGCTTTGCGGGATCAAGCCTCTCGGCTGGGGGTTCCAGTGGCAGTGCTGTCCAGCCACACGGTGGCCTCCAGCTTTGTGCAGATCTGTGAGGCGCACGCGGGGCCCTCTCGTGGGGTGCTGCTAGACCCAGAGCAAAGAGTAAGGCACAGCACGATGTGGTAACTGTGCTGCTCTTATTTTGTAAGCTATTGGGGGAAATGGGATGTTTCTTTAATATTGCTTCAGGTATTTGCCCATTTTTTAAAGAAGGTTTAACCTCTCTTTTCAGAAGAAACTGTCTTCCTTGTTAGAGATCACTGGGCATTTATTAGCACACAGTATGTTCTCCCGTCTCACCTTCTGTCAAGAACTGTGGAAAGTACAGGTAAACCTGAGACTGTAATCCTGACTCCAGGGTTTTTCCAAGCAGTGTCCTGTTGTCTGGGGGGAGCCCACAGGACCCCTACGCATCTTTTGGAATCTCACCAAGCATCTCAGTTGCAGAGAGTAGGGGAAAGTGTTCAGTAAATGCCGCTGGATGGAAAGGAGGTACCCGCAAACACTGTTCACGGGGTACAGAGAAGAGGGGCGACTGTATCTGGATGGTTGGCGAAGGCTTCCTAGGAGTGCTGGGAGGTGCAGGAAGTGTAGGAGCAGTGTGGTTTCTGGGAGACGGATGTGATTGGAGCAGGGTGACTGAGGGATGGCGTGTGTCCGTGCTGCAGGAGGGAGGGCCTCACTGGGAGAGGACAGAAGAGAGGGGGGGCCAGATCACAAAGGGCTGTGCTGTGTCCAAGAGTGAACTTTATCCTCAAGGCTGTGAGGAGCCACGAAGGATTTAAAAAGATATTGGCATGTTCCTTTATATTTTGGAATCTTGGGTAGGCCACAGTGGAGAAAGGTCTAGAAGTGGGTCAAGCTAGAGACGGGGCAGGGTCCTATCTGAGCCTGCAGGACGAGTGGTGAGGACGGGCAGGAGGAGGGGAAAGATGGTAGTGGACGTGTCTGAAGGCTTGGTGAGTGTTAAAACTAGTGGATAAAATAGTTTAGGCTATGCTGTTATTCCACTTGGATTTTAAATAGAGTGTGGTAGTTAAGAACACAGACTGAGCATTCTGTATGAAAATGCATCCTGAAGGACTCACAATGCTGTTATTTTTTTCAGGATTCTTTGTTGTTGGAAGCTGTGTGGCATCTTCAAATACAAAACATTGTGAGCCTCCAGGAGCTACTGGAAAGGTAGTGATAATATAATGTTACCTTAAGACTACGTGATTTACATTTGTAACCTAGTCTTGTATGTCTCATGTATCAGAGCCAAAAATTGCCTGGAGAATCTATTACAGCTGACCTTTGAACAACATGGGTTTGAACTGTGCAGGCCTACTTACACACGATTTTTTCCCCAGTACAAACAGTTGGCCCTCTGTATTCATGGGTTTTGCATCTTCAGATTCAACCAACTTGAGCATCTGCAGATTTTGGTATTGATGGGGGGTCCTGGAACTAGTCCTCTGCACGTACTGAGGGGTGACGACTATATTAAACTTGGGGGATCAAGTTATATACAGATTTTTGACCCCTGTTTTGTTCAGGGGTCAACTGTAATTTATTTAAAGATAACTTTTTTTTAAATTGAAGTCTTATCGTGCACAGGCTTGGTAATGTTTTCTTTGCAGAAGATATATTATGTGGTAAAATATTTTAAAAACTAAAAAGATGTTCAGGTAAACATGGTTAATATATATGCGTGCAAGTGCTTTTATTTCTTCCTGAAATCCCAGCAACCCTCAGAAAGGGGATTTTATAAAAAGGTGCAACCCATGAAGAGGGGAGGGTGTGGGAGAGGGCATACTAGTAGCAGAACAGAGTTTGGAAGCAGGAGGCAGATGGCCCAGTGGGAGACGACTGAGCACACTTGAGATGGGCTTGTGCAAACCAGCAGTGTGGAAAGAAGTGGGGACCAATCCAGTGTCTTCTTTCTCCCTAGAAGACTCAGGATTGATGGCCCCAGTGCCTCTGGATCTAGGGGAGAGGAAGAGAGACTGTGATTGAAAGCAGGTGCCAGAAGCACTGGGAAGCTCAGATGGCAGCTTCCTGCTCTAGGCAGCCAGGCAGTTGCTTCTCCCCTAGCCGAGCAGGAGGCTGGGGTCTGCATGTTTGTTCTCTGCTCAAGAAAAACGGCATCTTGTTTGGGGGATTGCCAAGGAGAGTTGAAAATGCCATATTAAAACACTGGGGGTGGTACATGTGGGCCACATCTGTATTTTTTTAAAATATATTTTTATTGATTTCAGAGAGGAAGGGAGAGTGGAGAGAGAGAAACATCAATAATGAGAGAATCATAGATCGGCTGCCTCCTGCACGCCCCCTACTGGGGATCGAGTCCACAACCTGGGCATGTGCCCTTGACCATAATCAAACCCGGGACCCTTTGTCTGCAGGCTGACGTTCTATCCACTAAGCCAAACCAGCTAGGGCCACATCTGGATTTTTAAGTTGGATCTTTTTGTTGTTGTTAATTCTCACCTAAGGATATTTTTTCATTGATTTTTACAGAGAGTCGAATGGAGGGGGGAGAGACAGAAACAGTGATTTAAGTTGGAACTTTATACCAAAAACATTGTTGATGAATCAAAGAAGGAAAAAAAAGAAATTATAAAAGGACTGGAGGGAATCCTGGAAGGATGTTTTTGTAATCTTGAAGTGGGGGAGGCCTGACTGCTCTAATTAAAAGTGGACACAGGATTTCAGTTGCCAGTTCCCTATAGAAGATGTACAGGTGGCCAAGCACATAAA